CAGTTATTTTTGTTTATTTTTAAATAAATAAACTACTCCAAATATAATACTATAAAAAAAATACACAAATAAAAATATAGTTTTCAATAGTAAATTAGTATTTTTATTGATAAAATATTACACATCAACTTGTCTAAGATTAAACAACAAGGGCTACATCTTATATATACCGAGGACAAAAACCCTAAAAACCTCCATTAACTTAATCTATAATGCCGACTCCAAGAAAATTATACACACATAAAAAAGAAAGAAACAAAGAAACGAGCGGCTACAAATTCAATGATCGACTTCTTTTTACAGGTACAAACGATTACACTATAGCTGTATGGGATCGGGTGAGTGACAATAGTCGACCTGTGAAGAAAAAAATGAAAGAAATTAGTCGAAACGTATGAAGTTACACATATACTTTGCGGGAACAAGTTATGAATTTTGATTTATGTTCAAAATGCATGCTTTACATCGAGTGGCAATTAGCTTTTCAGGTCTCGACTAATTTGCTTTCCCACGATCTCTGTTAACATTTCGAGTCGGTCTTGGCGCCTTTCTACTACAAAAATATCATCAAAATTGAATTAAACTTATATTCGCAAATGAGAATGAGAAATGAAGAGGAAAATGAAACATAACTTCCAAGGGAAAAAAGAAGTGAGGCGAAAAATTTAAGCCCAAGACACTAACCAAAAGATGGCTGAACATATTTTCATGAGGAAAATGACGGGCAAAGCCAGCAAGGCAGATGCCTAAAACAAACGGGCCAGTTAAAAGTTTGAAGAGAAAGCAAAAGATGAAAAGAAAAAAAGGTTTTTGTGAACTTACAGAAAACCAAACGAGTTCTTTTGTTGCCAAAGGCACTGTAAGTTCATGAGACTTGAGTTTCTCCTGAACCTTGTCTTGAACCTTAATCATCAGATATAAGAAATGCCTTTAGTTTCTGAATGATTTAAATGTCCTAAAATTTTATTTAAGGCTTACGCGATGATGGTATATTTTTGCCCTATAAAAATAAAATTTCCTACAAATCTCATTTCAACAACGTACCCAATATATTCCCAATAGGTTGGGGTCTGGGGGTCAGTTGTACGCAGACCTTACCCTTGTAATTATACAAGGAGACTGTTTCCGTAGCGACCCAAGGTGCATTGCGCCGTTTGATATATTTTTTTGTTTTCTAGAAACTTCACTACTAGAAGAAGCACTAGAATTTAATTGAGTCATTTTGATCTAGTCCATTATTAGCACTATGCCACTATGCCAGGAGAAATCTCATTTCAACTATAAAAATAAAATTTAATAAAATGCTTACGCGATGATGGTATATTTTTGCCGATTCAAGGAATTTTCCAGACACTTGAGCTCCCTTTTCTGTGTAGGGCTTCAAAACGGCACGTAATTTGTCAACATGAGGCCTAGCTGAATCGGCTACCCGATCAATATATGGGTTACTAATTTTCCTCAAATCCTGACATGGTTATGTAACAAAATACTTAATACAAGTAGAAATAGTTGAAAGGTAACAAACTAAACGGATATAGTAATATGTAACCCCACCTGAAAATATGGATCAACAAGTTCCAAAACTCGAGTGATATGTGGAGATAATGCATTCTTAGATGATTTATATATCTCGATGGATTTTGTTGTTAGTATTTGCACGTGCGGTTGAACATTACTTGCAATAACCGTCAATTTTTCCTTAACCACCGGTGCTTTCTTCAAAAAATCACAAGGATTAAAAGAAAAGTCAAATTTCAGATTCATAATAAGTAGCATAACACAAAATGTTGATCAACTAAAAACACTCGTATATCTATCAAGCAAATTAAAGTGATCTTTTATATAACCCAAACAATGGTTTATTCAGCAAATAACTATCTTATGAATAGGCTAACAAGTAGAAAATTATCTCAAACAATTAAAAACCTTAAAAAGCTACAAACTTATGCAAATCTGACTTACAGTTTTCATGGCTTTCACATGTGGCGCAGCCCAATCTTCGGCTTGGGCTTTCTTCTCAACAGCCTAAAAAAAAGCAAAAAGGTGTATGTTAACTTGATATATTTGAGAGACTGAAACAAAAAATGTAGAGATGAATATTATCTTTTGCACTAATGTGCAAAAAAGCTAAATTACCAACCTTTTGCATCAAAAGGTCGAAAGTAGGCTTCCCATGAATGTTCCAATTCGTCTTTAAATGTGCCTTGAAATATAGAATAAATTAACAAATTCTAAACATTGCTCCAAAAGAGAAGGGGAGAAAATGGTGCATGAAAAGTTAAATAAATACCTGATAATAAATTAAATGAGCAGCAAGCCACGGTGGAAACCAAGCACCATGAACCTTAATATGATACAAATAAAATACTATAAGAAAAATAACTAATGTACATATCAAAGTAGAACTTATCAACAGATATACAAAAATGAACAGTATATACTGCAAATCATCTGATTGAATTTCACCTCCATCAACTCCTTCGTTTTGGATGCCACCTCAAACTTTGTGTTCATCATTTCTTCCTGAATAGGATTCCATATAAGCAACAGGAGGAAAAAAAAAAATCATAACAATGATCTAACAAAACATACCTCAGCAATTTGAAGAGCCCGTTCGGTTTTCTGTAACTTGGACTTCTGGTTGTCAATTATCTTTTGAAGCTGTTGAATGAAAAAAACAAAAAAACAAATTATCTGTTGCAGCTCATGATTTTCAACAATTATCATGATTTCAGATATAGAAAGATACAAAAAATACGAGTGTTACATCATTTTTAATCAAACCACGCGCATATGATAAGAACTTACGCTATTAACTTTGGTATTCAATTCAGAAGCCTTTTTCTCAGCTTCTGTTAGTCGGGCTTCCAGTTGCTCCTTTTCCTTGATTTTCACTTCGAGATCCTTTGTGAGTTTCTCCACCTGCTTTTCTAATTCACCAATCTTTGCATTTGACTTTCCCAGCTGCACATCAGCATCTGAATTTCCATTTTCCTATGAAAATAGCAAAAAATCCAATAACAAACAGTAACTTGCAAAGGAATGCATCTAAAGAGTCTAATCGCTTACTTGTCGTGAGGCAATTTCACTCTCCAGAGTTACAATGCTATCTGATTTTTCTTTGATTAGCTTCTCCATTTCAGCAATTACCACATCCTTTTCTTTCAATTCTCCATTCTTCTCCACAATTTGATTCTCTTCAGATATTAAAAAATTCGTAAGACAAAAACTACAATAGCACACAAGGGAAAAAAAGTCCCATCATTGTTGAAAGAAAAAACTATAGGTTCTGCTGAGAGCATAAATTTCCATGCAGCATAATAAAGCAATATCCAAATCCATTCTACGTCAAAAATCCCGAATAGATAACAGAAAAAAGGCTCGATTAGTTTCGATTCTCGGTGAAATGGGCATGACCCGAAATTCTTTTCCAATTGAGCTTTACGAAAAAAAAAAAAGAAATCACTGCACTCCGTCCCAACTTCAATTAATTTTCGGCTACAATATGCTAACACAACAAACTTCTTGTTCTCAAAATTACTTTCTCCTTCCTCAAATAAATTGGCTTCTTTCAAAAACCACCCCATTTGAAATGCATAAATCCACCCATCTTGCTTCGTATTTTATTTCTTCCAACCCAAGTACCCAACAGAATCAGATCAAGTCAGTAAGAATAAAAGGCTTAAGCACGCGATAATAAGAAATAGGACCCATTAAACAGATTCTCCATTTCAGCTAGTAGTAATGGTCTAAAATAATAATAATGCAAAAAATCATAGCAGGCCATAAGCTCCCTCCAAGGCAGGGCGATTTAGA